AAAAAGCAGTGCTGACTCGAGTGCCGAAATGTTTTGAACTAAAATTTACCGTGGCGTTTGAGTTATGCTCATGGCGAGGTGGTACCGTGTTTTTTTTTTTAACTTTAGCCTTTATTTGAATGGAAGGATTATACTCCGATTTCCTGCGATCCAAAAACAATACTAAGCCAGTGTTATGAAAAACGATTGTTGATTTAAACTATCTATGGCGGAAAGCTCTTTTTCTGAACCACGTACACCCACGTGAAACGTGCCGCGCGTGCTCGCCGACCCACCTGCACAGCTGTGCGGCCCCGTTCGCCGGCCGTCGCTCACTCGTATTGCGCTGCGATGGTCGGCACACAAAACACTCCCGGCCGCGCCTGGGTGGCCACTGGGAGGATGGCGACAATCGCGGCCCGGCCAGCAGCCCGCGGACGCCTTGCCGCCTCGTCGTGCCGCCAGCCCGCGCCTCCCCGCCGGCCGCTCCGCCCGCAGTTGTATGTGCCGCGTGTGTTCCAGCTGGGCCTGCCGCAGACCTGCTGTGGGTCAGAGCGAAGCGAGCGTGTGGCGCCATGAGTAGTGCACTTACCATACTGAGCCGGACGCGGCGCTAACTACTGTTACAGCAGTTTACAGGAATGAGACTTTGGCGCACATTCCTCCTCTATTGTTTGCCATGTGTCCTGCAGGGCCTTCAGGCAGCCCGCATCAGTGGAGCACGCTGTTTCGTGTATTCACTGATAAATATATATCTCATACCTGAAAAGTGTATATAACTGTTACTGTTGAACTGCAAAAAATGAGCTTTGGGTACGGTGCATGATACGGTGACCCTACTCCTCGCGAAAAAGGGGTTTCTCGAAGGGGATACGGTTTTTGTACCTCTTTCTTCCTGGATGGCCCTACTGGCTGTTGTATAGGGGGATGGGTACCGAAAACCGTAACAGGCTCCGTGCTCAAAACGGAAGACTCCGGGTTTAAAATCAAGAGGAACTTTTCCGTACATTTTCCGCACCTGCAGTAGTGTCATTAACTTGGGCTCTCATGGGAAAGAACGGAGTGACCGCTAGTGACCGTTACTAAGTTGAACGGTTATTCCTGTGTAGGTGACCGTGACAGGTCCTCAACAATCGGTATGCATTACGAAGTATTTCCTATTATTCGTAAGCAATTAACAGTGCATGTGATGTTTTCAGCACTGTGGGAAATTGTCGTGTACGCGGTAAAGGAAAATTAAAAAAAAAATCATGAAAGACGTCGTAAAATCACAATTCAAAATTGTAAAACTTATAGGCCCTGCGTATCGACTTGGTATCAAATAACGAGCAAGAGTGGACCACTCGTTTTGTTTTTGACAAATTGCAATCGTACATGTACACAAATATCTTTTTCACAGTGAACTTGGTACATATACATTAAAGGTGTTTAACTCGGTACGATACTCTAAATGTTGAGTGTCCGGTAGCTGTGCGACTTAGGGATCGTCAAGAAAGTTCGTCCATTTTTTCTCATATTTGCAGATATCAGATAGTGGAAGCCGGGCGCCTGCGAGGCTCGGGGTAGGCCACCCCGCAGGACAAGCATGCACTGCATGCAGGATATTGCCTACCCATCAGGCGCTATGAGACCTTTCATAGGCTGAATTAGGAACGTTTGTAACGGCGATGGACGGACGTATTTTTTTGGATGATAAACCCTAGTGAGCTTGGCCTTTGCAAGTTAAGTCGGACACCTCGCTGACACATACATACAGGCGCACTGTACTGGGTGTAACTGTGAATACGCAGGAGTAGTGTACCTTGTAATGACATGGGTCGTTGTGTCTATCATTAGTGAGACCAAAGTTGCGGTTGTCATATCGATTCGATTTAATACTGACTGTCGAGCAACATTATTAATTTTTCAATTCTGGTACGGTATCATCAACCTCCCACTATTGGTCGTAATTTGATTCTATAGTCGGTACGCAGTGCTTGTGAATTAACAAATTTTAAATTGTAATTGTATGGCATCTTCCATAAAAAAAAATTGTATGTAGCCGCTGCGACAATTTGTTTCTGTGAGTAAGTCCTTCATAGTTTGGCGCTTCGTCATTTCCAGTTGGTACAGCGCGGTAGCTTCAGCTACAGTAGCTGTCCCCGCTCCTTTGGCATTAGATGCGGGTGAGTTGCTGAGCTGGTATACTACGTGAAACGCGCTATTTTTCTTTAAACATCTCTCACACGCGCCATCTATCGAGGAGCCTAGGAGCCAACTATCGAGGTAGACCTGTACTAGGCTATGTACAAAGTAGACAGTAATTATCCGTATTCGTTTGGCCTAGTTCGGTCTAATGTTTCCACAGCGTGTCACCGCTCAAGTGGCTGTCGATTTTAGCTCTGGAATGGGGCGGCGTCGTCTATCGCGGCCGTTCCGCTCGTCTCGCAGTGTCCACTCATTCTGCTTGTCTGCCGGGCACACTTCGTGAGTCTATGCCATCTTATCGCGGCCCCGGCGATAGCGGGGCGTGGCAGGGCGTGGCGGGACGTGGTGAGTCGTGGCGTGCTGTGGCGGGGCGGAGTGACGTGGAAGCGGGCTGCGGAGTGCGGAGTGCGACAGACATAAACCCTTGATCCTGATCCGACCGGTAGCCGAGCAAGACTGACTGGCATCGTCAAGGGGTTCAGCCTGACATTGTCTAGACCTTGTGGAAAATGTTATGGTCGATTTACAAAAGTAAATAAATAAAGGCTTAACTTGATACTGTACATTACATGCCTTTTATGGTTTGCAGCATCCAGGTCGAATTTTTTTGTCCACGTTTTACTTTGTTCTATTCTATACCTGACCCTCTGCCTTGTGTGCTGCTGCCAACATCGGCTGTGCTGCTCATCGCCGTGTGCTATAGAGCCGGGTATTATCATCACAGTTCATTATCAGGCTGGTCATCACCATCTCTCTCCCGTCAGCCTGGCTCCACTTTCTAACGGTGCTGTGTCCTAACATGATCTTTTCAGGCATTCAATCATCAAGACATTTATTAGTTTTTGACACTTTATCACAAATTTACTATTTATTCAATCGTCACACACATTCCCTCCTCGCGACAGTATAATGAAAAATAACGCCTGAGAATCGGCAACAATTAGAATGCATAAATTTGACAAGATTTCAAAAATATTCGTCCCCTAATTATAATATATGTATCAGACGTCTATCAATTTAACGGAATTTTGAAACAAGTACTATACAATTTGGACAAAACGATTGTTTTTCTACGTAATGCCCGTAATAAGCGTCTCTCTGCCTAAATTCCCCTTTACAATAACGATCGCTGCTACTGAAGAAATAAATGAACCAATTCAAATATAATAAAAATGTAGAGTAAATTTTATCCAGTAATTAGTGAGCAGTCTTGCAAATCCAGCTGTTCATTTATCTTTGTACATAGTTCATATTTTATTCACGTCGTATTGAGGCTGCTTCTAAGGCTCTCCCATCAAAATAAATTTCATTATGGTGCACAATTTTGTGCGAAGTTCTAAACAATCGCTCAGCTAAATTTCGACGCGCCCCAACAACAATTTTCTATCTGCAGAGTGCTGAATACACAATGTTCTATCTGCGGAGTTCTGAATACACAATGTTCTATCTGCAGAGTGCTGAATACACAATGTTCTATCTGCAAAACGAGGTTGGGTGCAGCCCTTCAACTTTGTGTGGTTTGCAAGTAACTGGAAGACATTAAGGCCAATCTGCGCACACGGAAAGAATCGTAAAGGTCTAATGTTTAATTATTGACTGCAAAAAGTGAAGTAGAACGAGCGGTTACGGAGTAATAAGCATTTCTTTGGAGGTGTCCCGAAACCCGCGTTTTGCAGATAGAACATTGTTTATTCAGCACTCTGCAGATAGAACATTGTGTATTCCGCACGCTGCAGGTAGAACATTGTGTATTCCGCACTCTGCAGATAGAACATTGTTGTTAGGACTCGTCGAATTTCTCTTCTGCGTACTTTTTTGTCATCTTTTTTAAAAAGAAGATTAGGAAATTAAACGTTTTATAGAGATATGCATTCCTGCTGAACCGAGGGACCAATAACTCCGGGAATTATGTGTACATCTGCCTGGGAATCATCAGGATAAAAATTAATGGAAATCAACAGAAATCGGTTAAACTAAGTGGGACACTAATGAAACTGATACAAGTTAGTCAAAAAAAGGCGTTTTCTACCACTAGAAAACCTAAGGAATGAATATAAGTGGACGGGAATCACTGCGAATCAAGTATTTCGGGAATCATGTGTACACATCAAAGGGAGTTACTGCCCCCTCGTGCTGACCAATTTTTTTTTGACATATAAAATGTTTATTAAGTGCAAGTCCAGCTCGCATGGTCCGATCCGATTTGTCTAGCACCGCGAGCAGTCCAGGTCGCAGACGGCTTGGTGGTTGTTGGGTGCCAAGGGCATCAGCTCCACCTGTGAGTTCCTCCCCAACTGCACGATGACGGTCCTGGTGGCGTGCGGCGTGCCGGGCGTGAAGGGCGTCACGCCCGTGCCGGCGTGTCCGCTGCGGGCAGAGCTTCGCCGACGGCTCCACTTCCGAGAGACGTTTCGCCGCCACCAGCGACAGCCGAACGTGCGGCGGAACTCCTTCCGGAACTTCTCTGTAGAAATAGAAAACCAGAGGTTGTGTCGTGTGACCCATGATTGTGTACAAATGAATGCACAAAAATGTTAAAATTACCCCAAAAGTGCAAAACATTTGATGGCTTAAATCGAACTAATAAAATGTACAAATTTTAAACAATTTCATAACATTCTATCGCACGTTTTAGTGATAAATATAATAACAAGTATACATTAAACCTTGCGATTAAAAGCTATAACATCACCTATTTTGTATTAACTTTCCCCTTCTTCACTGGTAAAAAAACTGTGGCACTAACTGCAGAGGAGTCGACGTAGGATTCCGGGAGAAAACGCAGAGGGAAACGGACTTCGGCGCTGTGTTTAGCAGGTCCCAGACAAAAGTACTTGGGGAACCCGGACGAAAGATTTGCCTTTCAAGTGTACTATAACATTACTTGCAATTGGTCAACATGCTGGGTACACAAGTGTTGAGTAGTTGCCCACTTAGTTTACCAGTGTACTTTTCATTGCAAGTCCTCGGTCACGAAAAACTGCAAAACTCGTGAACTCTCGTCCGGAGATTTTGTGTGACGAACTCTTTCGTTCGTTTCGTTTTACAATTGCGCATTTCAGTTCGCCTCTTACAACAGTAACAGTTCTGCTCTTTGCAGAGTGGAGGCTGGAGGCTTACCGCTCATGAAGTTGTAGATGAGGGGGTTGAGCGCGCTGTTGGCGTAGCACAGCCAGTGCGACACTAGCGAGCAGGCCACGGTCGCCTCGGAGTGCGGGATGTCCACCGTGAGCCTGCAGAAACAGACAGCTTTGAAATGCAGATCAGACCGCCCGCCGACGCACGACAGACCTCCGAGGAGTACTCTGCGTACCAAAGTGCTGCCAGGATTGGTGCTTTGTTGTTTGGTTAATTCAAACTCAAACTCAACTTTAAAGCCAACACCCAGAAAAAAATATCCCATACAGGGCTAAGAAATATACAGTCCCCTCGGTCAGGCCACAAAGCCAATGCACACAGTCTTCAGCACCACTGTTAAAAATTTTAACAGTAAATAACTACAGAATGTACTGGTAATTTTGGGAACAGTGTAATCCTGTACACCCAGAAAAGTATGTTCTTGTTGTGAGTCAAAATACTTGGTATTAGACTAAAATTGTTTTTAAAACAAGTATATTTGCTTACATCAAGAACAAACGTACTCAAAACTTTAAGTCCATAGAGAAATCAAGAACATACTTTTCTGGGTGTATGCTGCACTGTATTTTATTCTAGAGGAAAGTTCTTTTCGAGCAATGTCTAGTCCAGGGGTCGCAAACTCGAGCTATCCGCTTAGCCGCGCCTGCGCGTCAGTGAAATTGAAACGATTTACAACTGGGAACCGTAGGTGTCGTGCTCGCGCTGGCGATTGCCATGGACGTCGGTCGACTTCTGGAGTGTTTCGGCCTTTGCTGCCGTCAGTGCCGCCGCGGCTATTTCTCTCTCTCACTATCGCGTCGTCTCGAGCGCCGCCGCTTGCTTGACGAGCTCGCTGTTTGGGGGGTTGGTCTTGGCGCTAGGAACGCAGCGACGGTTCATGGGGTGCATGCTTGGCCCGGCTCGGATGTGTGTGGCTGATTCCCGCATGGGACTAATTCCCCGAAAATTCGTAAAGTCAACAGTTTAAACGACTCGCTTAGGCAGCAGCGCTATGTGATGTGCCGGCGATAAATCTGCAGCCAGCACGGATAGCAATCAGCGAAATTAGGCGGAAATGTGGATGTGGCTTGTGATGTAGCTGTGTCGCTACGGCAGCCTAAGTGTGCGTCAACTACAACTAACGACGGGCGTATCTATTTTAACACCTGTCCGTAAAGCAGGTGCGTTTGGCACGTTGCTGATTGTATCGGCATTGACTTGACTTGGGGGAACAGTTGCACGCGTACACTCTTAAATTCTTTCTAAGAAAATTCTTGTATTACAACGAATTTTGTGCAACCGTAATACAAAGCCAAATTTTCTTTGTAATACAAAGCCAAATTTTCTTTGTAATACAAAGCCAAATTTTCTTTGTAATACAAAGAAAAATCATTGTAATACTAAGCAAACTTTTATGAAATACACGGAAATTTCTTGTAATACAAGGAAATTTCTTGTAATACAAGGAAATTTCTTGTATATTACGGTGGCACAGAATTCTTTGCATTAATGCGTATAATTATACAAACAAATTATTTGTAAAAGATGTAGAGTGTACTAGCAAAAATACCTGCAACAACTTGGCCAACTATGCTTAAATTTGTGCGTAGTCATGGGCTTAGATTTTGTACGGTGTTTTGGGTATATCTCCGGCTAGTTGAAATTCTGTATGTTTCTGCACAATCCTGTGCATGAGGGATGTGAATGAAAGTCTGATTGAAACAGATCGAAAGAACCTGTTCGCGTATATTTATAGTATTCTTAAACAGGCTACTGGTTTGTTTATTTTTGGATCGTATAAGGTGGCGTGGTCGTGATTTGCCCTTTTCCCGCCAAGCCAAGGCCAAGCAAGCAGGCGTCGGCGTCGATAATCATCCACTTTGCTTTATAACTCGGCGGACGAACTGACCTTCTCATATCCATTAGGGGCTCTATCCAGTGGGCCCCACCGCGCCCCACCACCTTGTGCGGGCACGCTCAGCGCCACCGGTCCCACTGGCCCCACCGCGCCCCACCGCGGCGCCGTGCGCCCCACCGCACCACCCAAGAGGGTGGCGTGACGGCGGCCCACTACGGCCATCACAAAGGACCTATCTCAGCCGACAGAGATTCGCCGTCCAGTTCAAAGATACCGTGCTCTAGCGTGTCACGGAACGTACGCTGCTATATACATGCACCAAGAACAAAATTAGTGTGCTAGAATTTTTTCCTGCGTTATCATTTTTAGACAGTCCCCTAAAGACTGTCTCTACCAGATGGCAAAATCCCCCCTCCCCTCTCCATTCCGCCTCCTCGCTATCTACAGCGAAGAGTTGGCGGCGCCTAGCGTTTGTCATTGGGTTTGTTTGGGCACCGCTGCATCGTAAAATGCAATTTTTTGATAGGAATTTGAAGAATTTCTACCTAGAATCATGATTATGACTTGTACATCCAATCTTATCATTGTGCGCTCATCAGGAAAGTAAGGTACCCCTCCAAATAGCCCGATTGATGACAGACCAAGGGAAAATGAAAATAAATACCCAGAACGAGCCCCACATAGTGTAGTTGATTGCTTAGTGGTTCCCTGGCAGCGTGGTCAGCGAGGTGGTCGGTTCGTGGAGCCTGTCGATCTCTCCATTTACCTAGCGTTGCTCTCGCCTTTACAGCGAAGCACCAACAAGGGCCCTCAGCTCCGTTTCTGCGTCGCCTCTGACGCCCTGGCGCACCCCCTTTCACGTTGTCTGTTGGATAGATTTTGGCCCCAGGCAACGGGAAAATCTGGTTCACTCTCTCTCTCCCATTCTCTTATTCTCTCTCTCTCTCTCTCTCTCCCTCTCTCTCTTCTCTCTCTCCCTCCCTCCCTCCAATGTAGTCTTTCCTTTCTAAAATACAGGCTAATTTAGTGGAAGTGGAACTTTACAAGTAATTTTGACTGGTGTACGCAACTGGTTTTTATTGGTATTGGAAGCTGCGTCACGCAAATTTATTTTGGGCAATTGTTTTTGTATAGGCGTCTCGACAGGAGCGTACTAGCCTATGGCGTGAAACTATACCATGCGCGCTCGTATGTGGTTGGTTGGGTATGTCGCCTACTCGCTCTGGACTATATAAGACGCCTTGCCTGTCTGCAATATAGTGCAACTAAAGAAAAGTTCAGTGCCGTTGGGACACCCTGTCTGCACTGTCAACGCCGTGGTCACCTAGCATGCCTAAATGTTGGCAGTGCTTTTGGACTGCCAAATTTTTGCCGTCTTTTGGAGGCTACCAAATGTTGGTCTCTTTTAATGCCAAATTTTGGCCTTCTTTCTAGAGGCTGCCAATTTTTGGCCTCTCTGAATGCCAAAAATTAGCCTCTTTCTAGAGGCTGCCAAATTTTGGCCTCTTTGAATGCCAAAAGTTGTCCTTTTGAAAGAAGGCCAAAATTTGGCAGCCTCTAGAAAGAGGCCAAAAATTGGCAGCCTCCTATAGAAAGCCAAAGTTTGGCAGTCAAAAAGGAATAGGCGACCACGGCGTTAACAGTGTGCATATGGTCGCGACATGCGGGATCTCTCCGGCAAATGCTCGTCACAATAGGCTCGGGATCCCGAGGAAATTGACTTTGTCGTATTCTCCGACCCTCGCGCCTTGAAGACAGGCATCGAACCTCTCGCCCCCTTTCCGTTTTTGCCACTCTACCATCGTCCTTCGACTTCTACTCCCGTTCGCTTTCCCAGGGTTCTGATGTTCAGCTAAATAGGAAGCCTATGATGGGAGCTTTGCCATTCTGTGGGGAAGGACCCAGACGGAAGTGGCGGGCTATCACGTCTAACAGTGCGAACGGAAACAAAGGAAGTTGTGCTTGTAAAATCGAATCCTGCGCCGACGAAAGTCACGCAGTGAAAGGACTGTTGCTCAGTTGCTGCCCCGTCTCCGCGCCTTTTGATCTCTCGCGCCTGCAAATTGGATCGTTTGTGTCTGCCGTAACCGTTTCGTTTTAAAACAGCACTTGGCGCCACGTGGGCCCGGGCCTCCCCTGGCGGCGGCACGATACAGCCTCTGCGACAAAAGCCTCTAGCCAACTTTGGATTCATAATTCTGACTAATTACCAAGTCAGTGCACTCCATTTCTCGTTTCCCCGCCCCACCCTCCGTCCTCCCCGGACAAACTTCGGCGTGCTCACACCTCTTCATATTTCACCCGGGGCTGAAGTTCATCAGTAGGGCTGTCAGGCCGAGCCCCAGGTCCTCCAGCGTGCCGTGCTCTTGCCCCGCCACCCCACGCCTACGGAGCGGCAGCGGGCGGCAGAGCCAAGGTCCTTTACAACTAGTATTAGGATATCGACGCGTGTGTGTCTTGTTTTGTAATCTCGTTATTGCACAACTATTACGCATTAGAGCGTCGACAAGTCACAACCTAAAACTTGATGAAAATCTTACATTTGAAGTAATGATTGAAAACGGCAGTTTAAATTAAGAGAGCTAATTCAATCATTAAATTGGTCTTAGCTCAGAATTTGAGCTCGCTCAGCGCTTAGCTCATTATTAGCTCAGAGATCTAAAAGATTAGCCATAATAGTTGTGTAGAAAAAAGAAGTAGCTGTGAAGGACAACATCTTAGGTAAGCTAAATGAGCTAATATTCTTGAGCCAAGGCCAAATTAACGAATGACAACAAATCCGTTTGCTTTTTCGTGACAAGAGTATACATGATCCTACCTTAATAATGGCTAATTAAGTACACCTTCCAGGTAAGTTGAATCGTCAAATTACCTACACAGCAAAAAACGACGTCCTGGCGTGGTTTTAATAACGGTCTGGAAAAAACATGACGCCCCCATGCATTTCTTCCATAGGACGTCTTTTTTCTTCCAAACCGTGGAACCGTAATGTAAACCAGGGCCTCGTTTTAACCGAGCATGAGGTTTACTACGCACGCCTGCATGCAGCTATCTTTTGGTGGGTGCAAAAGAGATTGTCTCAGAATTCCTCTCCAATCCTGTTGAAATGGCTGCTGCAGGTGGTGGGAAGGAGGCAGGCGCCAGATCAATCAGAAGAGGGTGGCATGGTTAGCGCGGAGTTCCCTTGCGCCCCCTCCTCTCAGCCACTCAGCATTTGATGAGCCATGAGTTTGCCCTCGGCAAAACGGGCAAACCTGCGCTATGCTGTTGAGTCTCCTGTTTCACACTTCACTCGTATCATGCATGCAGACATAGTTCCTCTTACTTCAAGATCAAATTGTTATTTTCGTCTAATGTATTCTCTTCGGCGTGCCCAATCTCTCTCACAATTAATAATCTATTCTCATAACATTTTCCCAAGTGTGTAGCGCTTAGGTGTAATGACTAGAAAATGACAAATACTTTCTTATTTTGTATTTATGCCATTGAAAAAGGGGGCACGCTGAGCAAACCTGCCTCCGGCCCACCCAAGCCAAGCGGAGAAATATACCCTATTGGGTAGTCCGGAAATGAAGATAGACGCCAACCAATAAGTGGCGCCCACCTGTTACCCTCCGTGGTATTTGATTGGCCAGCTGAGGTTTATGAGCAGCCGGGCGGCGGGGCTTGGGGAGAGGGTGGGAGGAGCTGGTGTTTGGTGGGGGGCAGACATAATAAAAATGTAAGAGCAAGGGAACGAGGCGTGTGTTAAAAAGTTTCGGGGTTCGGTTTTATATTCATCTCATTCCCTCCATATTGTCCTATTCCCCTTATTTAACCGTACCGTGCTGAATCAGTAGTTCTGTGAGCAGACTCATCTGTTTGACACCCGTAGTGGCGCAACAGGGACAGTGGTCTAAGCCGCCCATTCCGCCGAGGAAAGCAAAAGTGGGAAATTTTTGGCCTGCAACCATGCAAAAATGGTTCCTAAAATTTGGAACTAGGAGCCTTTCAGATTACCTTTAGTAACTGAACCCCGAAGTCATGCTGTGCTGCATATACCAAAAAGTGTTTCATCATGACTCATCGAGTGAGAGCCATGCCGGATCAAGTAGCCAGGCGTTAGACCAAGGGTCCCGGCTACGTGGCTCTCGCTCGACCCGCCTGGCCCGGGGTGCGCTCCCTGTTCGTCAACGACTGGCTCTGCTGTCCAGCTCGAGGCAAGCGATCACACCTACGCGGACGCTTCCAAGTAGCTGACAGATGGCGTCGAGGGGGAAATCACTTGCGAAATAGTTCGTACACCTTCCCCCGAAATAGTCCAAAATAAAGGCGAAATAGAGCGAAATAAAGACGAAATAGACGCGAAATAGTCGGTGAAATAGTCGCGAAATACCCCTGAAATACTCCGAAATAGCGCGCAATAGCCTGAAATAATCCGAAATAGGCGAGAAATAGCCGAAATGGCAGGAGAAATAACCGAAATGGCAGGAGAAATATCACGAAATAGTCCGTACGCTACGAACCCTAGTAATTTCCCCATTGGATGGCGTGCGAATGCGCTCTATGGCTCGCGCGCTGCCGGGACCCCTGCGTTAGACCATAGCTCCTGCAAAGCGTGTGCGATAATTTACGTCCAAACGATTCCATCCATTTTCGAATTTGGCTTTTTACCCCCTCCAAACTACTGCACTGTTAAAATCCTCTCTGTTAAAATCCCAGGAGGCAATGCTTTGCAATTGCGAAGAAAAACGCTTCGTAGTTACAAAGGATCAAATTCCTTCGCAATTGCAAAGCATTGCTTCGCAGGATTTTAACAGTGCTGCAAATCAATGCTTTGCAGAACTGCGAAGTATTTAGATTTTTGTAACTACGAAGAATTTACTTTGGAATTACACAGGGTGATACCTTGCAATTGCGAAGCAATAAAACACGCTGCAGTGCATCGCTTTGCAATTGCAAAGCGTCACTTTGTAATTGCAAAGTATACTTATTAGTTGCAAAGGATCTAAATACTTCGCAATTTACCGTGGACATGTTGGAATTCCACGGTTGTATCGCCTCGTAGAAAGTTCATTGTGGAGCCACCTCGCAGGTAACCAACATTAGGTAGAACTCTATTTTGAGAAGCGTCGTCATCCCTCACGTTAAAACTTTCGAAAGTACTGAAGGCAGCGGCCCATGGCCCAGCTCGGAGCGGGAGGCTTAACCTGTCGGGAATCACATCGCACACACGCTGATTTGCAGAGTAATCTGTCTCTCCTCCGCTCGGCGAGACGTGGATGAAACTCGCAAATAACATCAGTGCGGGGGCCGTAAAAGCGTCTGAAGAAAGTTTTGCGCTCGGAAAATCGAGAAGCGAAAGGAGAGAGGGGTGAGGAGCAGAGAGAGCGGGAGACGAGTTAGTTGGGTCTGACGGGTGTGAGCGCTTATTGGCGGCCGAATGAAACTTGGGACAGTCGTCTGGCCTAGCGGCGGACTTGAGCCATCGCTCACTCTGTCGTCTCACCTGAGGATGCTGAGCAGGTGCACGGGGAGGTAGCAGACGGCGAACAGCGCCACCACGGCGACGAGCATCTTGGCGGCCTTCCTGCGCGAGCGCACCTGCCCCTCGGCCGCCCAGGTGCGCCGGCCCGCGCGCGTCCCCGCCACGTGCCAGCCGCCCCGCGATCGCCCGCGGGTCCCCGCAGCCCCCGCAGCCCCCCGGCCCCGCCCGCAGCCGTAGGATGTAACTGGAACAGAGTAGTGAAAACAATCATGGTGACGTGTCCGTTAACTTTCCAATAAGGTGCACGGCAAAAACAATGTCTGATTTTTTAGGAAAAGGTGAAAACTGTACATGGTACACTCTTCCTTGTGAGTACTCACATGCACACACGAGGAAGTGTGTGCCTGGCATGGCACACACGAGGAAGTGTGTGCCTGGCATGGCACACACGAGGAAGTGTGAACATACGTGGCACACACGAGGAACTGTGCACATACGTGGCACACACGAGGAAGTGTGTACATACGTGGCACACACTTATTAGTGTGTGCTTTCAAGTACACACAAAGAAGAGTGTAACTATGTACACAGTTGGGTTTACAGTGTATCATATATTTGTCGAGGAAAAACTCCTCAAAGGTGCGCGACTATCCCTGATTTTTTGAGAAGAGCTCCTCGTAATAAAAAGTTTTTCCTCAAACATGGAAGTTTTCAAAGTTTTCTCTTGTTCCTAAAAAAATCAGACATTGTTTATGCGGTGTGTGTGGTCCTTTAAGCGAACAAGCTTATTTAGTTCGTAGTCCGAACACTGCTGTATTGTATTACTATCAAATAAGCTAATTGTACTGCGAAAATAAGTTGCTTTTGAGATATTTGTTTTCTGCCACTGCTCCTGCGGGAACTTACCGGGCTGGTGCACGGGGAAATGCTCCTCGTCCCAGAGCACTCTCGCGATCTGGAGGTAGGCGATGAGCATGAACCCGAGCGGCACGAAGTACAGGACGGCGCTCTTGATGCAGTGGTAGATCATGTCAGCCTGCCTGTTCCAGGACGAGATGCATTGCGTGAGCAGCACCGAGTCCACGCCCAGCTCCTTTTGCTCCGTGTGCAACACCACCAGCTCGGGGACATCTGGGTGGGCAAAGGAGGCACAACTGCGATGACTGGGGAGGCTGAGTGCGGCGGGTGAGGAGTGTCTTGTCACATTCCCTTCTGTTGTCCAGAGGCGGCTGGGCTGGGCTTGGCTGGACCGGCTCGCCTCGTCCTCGTGGGGGACAAGGTCGTGCTCGCCCTCCGCTCAGCACTAATTGCCGGTGGGGAGGAGGGGGTCCAAGCGCACCATCGAGCATAGACGATTATCTGTCGCTAATTGCTGCCAGTGAGTGTCATATTGTTCGCCGCCTGCTGTTTGCCATATGTAATGATGTGTGGTGGTCTGGTAGAAATAAATCCTACCATATGAAAGACTGTTAGGCGCGCCGGCCCAGGATGAGCTTTCTCGATGGCCTTATTGCAACCAGCTGCACCCCTCGCCGCTCTACCCCGCCCCAGCCGGCCACACACCACCCCGCCCTGTCACGCCCCGCCACGCCCGCGTCGCGTCACGGGCTGCATTTCACAGCCTCGCCCTGGGGCGCTACTGCCTGCTGCCGCCTGCCTGCTGCCACCGCGCTCAGCACGAGTCGGAAATTGCCATCCGCGCGCCTCCCTGCATGGGATTTAGGGGGAGGGTGGGGGGGTCATGTGGGTGTGAGCCATGCAAAAGGTTACAGCTCGTGTGCGTGCGCAGAGGGGCGCGCTGGGGCGCCCGCCGCCAGACGGTCATTTACTCTGGAAAACCTGAAAAGCTAATCAGTATGAGGGTTGCTCAGGAACTGCTTAAGCTTAGGATCCCTTTAGTCCACGTCAAAAATTGTTCTATTGCGATGGGAAAATTGTTTGCTGCACGCAACTTCACATTTGTTCAAGGGAGGAAATATGGAGAGCAGTATTGTGATGATTGACGTGAACATTCGAGCATGTCGGTTATTGGTCATCCAAACATAAACCCGCATCTGATTGTCAGTTTTCCTCCAACCCCTCCCTCACTGGCCGTCATTAACTATGACGTCGTCACAGCGTGATAACACTCTGTAAGGTAAAGACGACTAGTCGTTAGGCCGGCCGTTATCAGTACTTACCGAAGAGCAGCGCTACTACCCAGATAAGCGCGATGGCGCGCTTGGCGCGGCTGATGGTGGAGCGGAACTGCAGCGGGAAGCAGATGGCGTACCAGCGCTCGATGGAGATGAAGGTGAGCGTGAGCACGGACACGGCTACGGACACGGTCTGCGACAAACACACGCCCTGCATTAGTAATCACGCAAACGTTTTGTGCAGCAGTATCGCAAAGCGCCGGGCAGCTCGCCCGAAAAGATTCATGAGAATGAAATGCGTGCCGGTTGACCAACTGAAAAGAGAAATGTGGACACACGAAACGCTTTGATTCGCTATGTTGGCGGAATGTGTCATGGAATGCCGAACGGGAAACGTACACTTCATATGATGATGGAATATTCTGAATCACAGGTTAGATTTGTTTTTGTTATCTGAAAATTGAACTAATATTAGCGTGCGATTAGTAGTTTGGGATGTATTACAAGTTGGTAATATCCCACCACAAAATACCGCGCTTACCGATGCCGTGTAAAAGTTTAGGAGACACAACGAAAACAGTTCAACGCCGCTCCGAAAAAGTGCATGTTCACTTTAGGGCTCGCCCATTGAGTACTCCCATTTTTGTTATATTCTTCCGTAAATTATGGACGCTCGGCGCCTGCGATGCTCAGGGTAGGCCAGCCCGCAGGACACGTATGCACTGCAGGCACGATGTTGCCTACCCATCAGGTGCTACAAGAGCATGTCTTTGCTGAACTTGGCATTTTATTGACGGTTTTGAGTGAAAAAGATGCTGCGTCATATTTGCATTCAAACAGTCCTGAAATTTTGAATTCGTTCTTGTTATTTTCCCCCTTTTACCCCACAACACGCTAAGCCAGTTGTCCGCTTGTGCTGACAAGGCAGTAGAGCTGTTTGTTTTCTCGCTGATAGTTCATCGTGCCGCGAGACTTCCCTTAATTAAAACTCTGAACTCATATCTCCCATCGCCTGGAGCCTGTGTTCTGTCCCCTCACCCGCGATGGCGTAGGCAGATTGGACAATGAGGGAAATTAGGAAGGATTGTAGGGGTTAGGGGTTGTGACTGGATAGAGCGACTTCACATGGCAAAGATTTCACATTCTATGGTGAAAAGTGTTGCTAAGCGCGGTGCCTTATGTCGCTGGAATTCCATCCATCCCGTCCAAACAATGCCGGACCCACCTACTATATCGTTTCAGAACGATCGTAATATCCCAAGATATCAATATAATTTCTCTTATAAAATTGCACATCTGGATATCTTTACGTAATTTATCACTTCGGAACTAAATAAAATATAGGTTTATTAGTCTTTAACAAAATAAATAAAAAATTACTTTTTTTATTAAGAGGCTTGTATACACATATAAAAATAAAGTGTTCAACTGGCGTTCACATTGAACCCTTGAGCACTTAAACCTGAACATCAGGGTTGCCTATGACGCTTTGGACACTTTTAAAGTGTTCAAATTTACTGTTGCAACAACATGAACTCTTCAAACTATCCAAATTCTCCGCGTCAAACACTAAAACGTGTACAACGCAGCGCAATGCCGTTGATATGTGCACGCCAGTTAAACGCTTAATTTATCAGTGTACAAAACAATTCGTAAAATAACGATGTTTTCATTTGCTTAAAATATACGGTTCCGTAATATACATTTTTTTGAAGAAAAATGCGTAAAATCACCATAAATTTTTAAAACAGTTTAACCTCAAAGAAAATTTGGTGTGCTGGCTGGTAAAAGGACGAATAGAGTAAAAAGTACGGGGCCTCCTGTGGTCTCAGGGCCACTATTTGTTTTCAGTGGGTGTGGAGTGAAGGTAGCGAGGAGCGAGGCGAGGCGGCCGCAGCCTGTCAACGAGTTGGCCCGGGGGCCCGGGGGCGTCGGGCCGCCCGCCACAATCGCTTTTAGGAGCGACGCAGCAGCACCCTACTCGTGAAGTGCGGGACGTGGCGGGGGCGGGGCGGGCGTCGCCACCTGGCGCTCGACCGCACGACAGCCAACGACCATCGGCAGGGCAAAGTGTTGTAGCCTCACTGTACTGTCAGTGGGCCCCTATATCACACCGCGGGACTAGCCAGAGGGCGGCTGCCCGGAGGCGTGTCGGAATGGCAACCGGCAGCCCCTGGCGCGGTCTCACAAGTTGACTGACGTACTCGGTGCTCGGCTACGGCTGCCGCGCAACTCAACGGGCTCTACCTCGCGTCGCTCTGTGGTCCTGGAGGGAAACTAAACTTCACTGAAGCTATTGATCGTTCTGTGCTAAACCCAGTCCGCGTGCTACCATTTTAAATGGCACTGTTCAAAAATAAATACACTGTGATTTGAAGGTTTGCAGTGTTAGTTTTGTGACCGCGAGACTGCGGGATCGCCCGTGGGTATGTCCTTCACCCACTTGTATCGGCTGACCACGCTGACACAACACATTGAATTAATAACATCTCATTAACTCCCTCTGCCCTGTAAATTTAGAGTTGTGTGTTTGATGAGAGGGGATAATTAAATGCCGCCCCTTTGCCCAGAGCAACCTGATTTTATTGAAACTAGTCCTCATTATTGCCCGCCTCATACATGCATGCCCATTGAATACCTATAAACAGACCACTTGCCACGGAATGGTCTCGTACAAGCAGCAGTACAATGCGCAGCCCCTGTCCACCCACGGCTTCAGAGCGAGCTGAGCTGCCGTTCCGGGAGGGTTCTCACCCGGACAATAAGACGCGAGAGGTTTGATCTGACCGCCGGCCCCCAGCCCAGACCTGAGCTTTGTGCCGGTGGCCCTGCCGCCGCCCGAGATCCACTATTCATTAGGATCCCCGCGTGGACAAACCATCCGGGGACCAGTTAGGGCCCAAAGGGGAGGGACGCCTCAGCTCATCAGCGCACAGGCCTTGATTGGCGTGCGGATTGACTACCGTGCTTGTCGAGGAAGGTACACAGTAAGTGATTGTTTTGGGCCGCACCGACACCCCGCAGGTTATCGTGCCGTTTGACCAGAAAGGCGTTATAAAGCATTGTTCTTCCTCTAAAAACGGATGATTGTATCCATCAACAGTGTGGGTATTCTACGAGAATATGTCTTTGAAAGACAAAACATATGTCCGATCTTTTCGTAGAGCTATAGATTGCGGAATTTCAGTGAACGCTATGAATATCAAAAAGGTTGAAACCACCTTCTAGTAGCAGAGAAATTGACATGTGCATGAGAATGTGTTGGCTATTTTAATTCATATCATGATTTCCTTTTACTTGTAACTCTTTTAGTCCCCCCTCCCTTAAGGAATGGGGCAGTTCGTTTTAATAATTTAAAAAAACGTGACATATGTAATTTTGCGCCCTGTGAAAATTTTAAATTTTAATGGGAATCATCCTCTATTCCCATTAAGGAGTGGGAACTGAACACGTAGTTTATCATCCTTGGCGCAAAAGTACCTCGCAAAACTCTCTGCACTGCAATCCCGCCCATGGAGTTTGGTTCATTCATGGAACGATAGCTCGAGCCACCACTGCTGGACGGAAATGACCTAAATAGTGAATTATGTGTGTCAGTCCTCCGCGTAGCTCAATTCAAGACGTCATTAATGTGTCATTGTGCTCTGCATTGTGGGGATGGGGAAAGAAAGTACGACCCTACCCCTTGCTTCGCCTTGCTCCCAGCGAGGCTCCCAGCAGCCTCACATTCCCGGAGCGTCCGCGCCGTTTATTATTTGATTATTATTCCAGTCCTTGCCCATCCCTGCCGCCCACTGGAGTAGCAATAAACTATGGTGATTAATCTAATATTAAAACCGAATAAAAATAAGAATTCTGTTCTACTGGCCGCGTAAGAAAAACCATCTCCGTACCGGGTGTTGAATAAAAGAAAAAGACACAGGTGCGGGTGGGTTTGCCTACCCAAGGGGCTATGGCGCCTTACGGGCAGATCGGGTAGGCAAACCCGCCAGCACCTGTGTCTTTTATGCAACACCCGGTACATCCTGCACTGTTTAAAGTAACCTACGGAATATACTACTACTTAGTTAACCGAATAGATCGTGATCTTTCTTTGGTGACTGCGGGAAAACAACTGGACATTCAGTAATCAATACTAGGTAAATGCCTTTTTTAAGTTTTAGCAAGATAGTTAACCACTTCGGTTGGAACGCGCATGGCAAACTACCAGAAATTTGCTATTTTGTGGAGAAGGTTTATTAGGTAACTTGTTTTGCATGTTCCTAGCCCAAAGAGTCCACCACAGTGGTATTTAAAAAAGACATTTGTTGGCAATTAAGACTAACGAACAACTTCGCTACAACGAAGGGAAGCCGCCTCGTCTCAGGTTTCGTGGACCGTTGGGGTTTGTAGAGCCGGCTTGTAGCTAGCGTTATGCTGCATTGAAAAAATACCACATTTAACATACACCATTTTCTATACTATTCACACTTTCTAACAATACGGCTTTGTTTTCGTTTAATTTGGGTATTTTTGGCATTCGCATTCCTATCTGTAGTTTTATTTCATTCATCAGGGACAGGCAATGAGTGATACACACTAAACCCCTTTTCCTTTGGCTGAGGAGAATTGCGCAGAGCTTGAAGATTTTCACTCAGCCGCATTAGTTTCTATACAATTCCATAAAATTCCGCATGTAGATGCACAACAGAATGCATAAGGGTTTAACACTCATTGGCTGCTCCTGACCCTTCGTCCTTCGTGTCGGTGCCAGCTGTAAAATAGAAAAAACAAACAAACTTGTAAGCGTTTCAGGAAATATTTCATGGTGTATGTTGCAAAATTACAATCTGAAATTGTATGCTCAATTGTTCGATCAAAAACGGGTCGTCGTAAATTTGCAACATATTTTGTAACTCAGAGACAAAATGTTTTGTAAAATTTTCAGAGCGGAGGCGTTTGCGGAATTACTTACTCCTCCCTCTCGGCCTCTATGCCCTTAACCCCGTTAGCAAGGGGAAAGGGCTGGTGGGCTGGTGACAAGCCGATGACCCTGTCGCCTCAATGTGGTCCTTATACTGCTGATCGTGTGTGTGATACCCCCCTCTCTCTCTCTCTCTCTTTCTCTCGTCCCCTGGACACACCACCCGGCGGGCCTCCGTTCCGTGCCCCGGCGGGACTGACGGTCTCGGCTTGTACACACAGCGCCCAGGAGGCGCCTGCGGAGTCGTGGATAGC